GACCACGATGACGCGACGTCAAGCGAGACCATATGCAAGATTCCACACCCATAATTAGAAGGGCTGCAGACGTTTGCAAATGGCTGTCGCGCGTCATGTAGCTGCAAGTCACGTGACTCCGTACCCACCAAGCAGGAACTTGGCAGAGTGCCTGCACTTTGATACGAGCTCCGTTCGCTTGTTGAGGGAGGTGCTGCGATCGGATATGCTGATGTGATATTTCTCTGCGATACATAGGTTGCAACGCTTGGTGACATTGGTGTAAGCCCGTGCACGTTCCTTGATGGACCAGCCAATCTCATAGGCCTTGTTCTGGCGTTTTAGGCTCCAGACATACTTTGCCAGCTCCGTACTTGCTTCATATCGCTCGTGGCGAAGCGACGTCATGTGATTTCCATACCTGGACTTGAAATCCGGTGCCGACATTCCAGTGTATGTCTTCAGGGCACTGTCCGACGTTACGTCCGCCTCATACACCACATTGGTCGACTTGCATTCACCTTTCAGTGGACAAGATGCGGCGACTCGGCAGTTGCAGGGGACTCTCTCGTGCTTTGGTTGCATCATTTTCTTGTTGTGGCCTTTGATCCGCGTTTCCATATTAGGCATGCAGCTATAGCCGACTTTCAAGGTGTTTCTGTTGAAGAGCTTTCGCAGTTTGGCGTTCTTGGGGAAATGCTTGCTTACTAGTGCGAGAAACTGGCCTCCGATGTTTGTCCTGACATTGGCGCTATACGGAGGATTGAACCAGATGATGTCTCGCTGATCAAGATACCATACAACACTTACAGTACCCCGAAGCCCACCTTTGCCCGGACTTTGGCTATGGACCAGCGTCCCCAGCTGCATCCACAGGTAGGAACCTCGTGCTACTGGTGCGTTCGGGTCCCGTCAATCGCGATTCAGGTGGATCAGTTCACATTTGGGAGGACAATGCGCCAGTTCTAATTTCTTACTTTTACGACGGGGCCGCACCAGTAGAGGTTTTTCAGAACCGCTCAGAGAGCGGTTTTTATATGGGTAATTTAGAAAAGCGATCCTGTCAGCTTTTCTATTATTGTGTTCACATGGCAAGAAAAACGACACCGCTATGCTACGTAACTTTCTACGTAAGGTGCTCGGTATTTCACTTAGGCTACGTAAGTCTCTACGTAAGGTGCTCGGTATTAGATCTACCAACGGGTGGTAGCCGCGTGCTGTGCACGTGCACGGCAGACATTGTGTTGCATGCAGTGCACTGAGTGCAGTCCGTGTTCGGATGTGCATGCGCGGGGAACTTCCTCCTTTGGAACTGCTTCTTGTATGAGCTGTTTCGGATTATTTCGTCTCCTGGCCTGGCTTATTTCGTTTCGGCGCTGCTGAGACCTCCTTTCGCGGAATATTACTCAATGACAGGTGAGTTGACCAGTTCCCTTTGATTCATTTGCTTGTGTTGACTCTTTCATTTACGAAAAGTGTGCTGATTTTGGGCGGAATGCAATAAACAGATCTCTTTTCTAAATTTAGCTTTTCCGCTTCCGAGGCCTCCTTTTACGGAATACTCGATGACAGGTGATCTCTGAGTTGACCGGTTTCCTTCGATTCATTTGCTTATGCTCACCCTTTCATTTACGGAAACGTGTGCTGATTTTATTCGGATTTCGATCCATTTTTATCTTTTTGTCCTTTTTGTACAGTGTGCGAAGAACGCGAGTTCACCTTCTTGACGGTAAGGCTTATGTTAGATGTGTTGTCGAAATACTCGTATTCATTGTACATTGGTACGTTACAAGTAAGGCACTGGTCAGTGGCATACTATCGTTGGTAGTTCCCAATCTGGAGGGAAAGGTTCAAGGACCCATTGACCGAGTTTGCAAAATAAATTCGCATATCAGGGAAAATCTCCATTGTGGAGAGGTTCAGTAAACTTGTTTGCTTCATACGAAACAAGCCAATGGGTGCAGTCTCGTCTCGTAAAGATCTCGTACTTGTATGATTGGATTTGTTTACTCGAGTCTGGACTGTTTGATTTATTATTTGTGAGTACCGCCGAGATTGCACTGCCCCAAATAAAGTTTCGTGCCGCCAAAGCAAGAATTACGATCTGCAATCTGTTTGTAGTACCTGCAAGAATGTGCTCTACATGTATCGTACTTTCTCTGTTGCTGTTTCATTTGGCATCATGTGGCTAAAGAAACGTTCAGTAGAGAGGTTCTGCAAAACGAAAATTCGAACGAAGTTTCGCCACAGTCCTTGCGAAAGTGTGTACGAATTTTGCGTTCTGCACATTTTCGTAGTTTTCGCGGGCCTCCTTGTGTGCACGACCATTGTTACGAGCCTCAGTGTAGTGTCTCAAGTAGTTGTTCTCAGTCTGATCTTGTTCTTCACCAACCTAATTATGCTTGTTAGTGATTGTTTCAATACATGTACCCGGTATACACGCACACCCACCATTGACCCAATGGCAACAACCCCACACACTGATCCACCACCGCTACACGATCCTCCGCTGGCTCAGTCCACCCCCCTCCACACACCCGCTCTACAGCAAACACCCCCTACACAAGTACTTCCCATTGCTACATGCACTACCCATACAGCATTTTACATTCCATTACACCTCACGTGGCCTCCATCTACTCCTGCACACGAGCAAGTGCCGGTCACTGCCTTCATTGATACTGGTGCTTCAGTCTCTATCGTTTCCCTCTCATTTCTCAAATCCATTCACTTCCCTATGGACACCATGAAGTCTCTTTCGTCAGCAGTCCGTCTGGTATCGGCTACGGGTGCCCCAATCCCAGTCCGAGGCCAGCTAGTTCTGAAAACCCACTTACCAGATCGTACACCCCTGCCTATTACTGCGTTGGTTGTTGAGGGGACGACAGAGTCACTTATTCTCGGTGCCAACTCCCTAGTCGAGCACCATATTGCCCTCGACTTCACATCCACTCCATGATTCATACTCACCAAAAGATGTGTACGATTTTATTATTATGGAGTGCCTTGTTTATCTCTCAGTACCTCCAACCATAGCCTTGCTCCTTTTATCCTCGGGATCAGTGTAGTTGTTGGAACGCGGTGTCGGACTCAGCAATGTATTTGTTTACATTTTAATACATGTTTATTGTTCCTCCTTTGCTGTGTTGTTTTAGAAAATCGTGGACTAACAGTTTGAAGTCATTGAACTACTTCCAAAAGTTGTATCGACATCAACAGGATTACGATTTCAGTGCAATATGATGCAGGATATGACCTTATCACGATAACCCATGATTATAAACCATTATAAACACAGAATCAACAAAAACATCTGCGACACGCACCTGGTTACATATCTCAACTACTTCAGTAAATCTGATCGAGGGTGGGGAAATCTGAAATATCTGAAAGGCAAGACAATTTTATGACAGAGTCATGAAATTCTGCTACAGCAACATGCACAGAATGACCTCCGTATAAAAAAAAGTATCACCACGGTCCACCACTACTCACATGTTTCCCCGCAGAAGAACATGCTAGTGCCTTTTTCTGCAAGAAAAGGCTTGCACATCAATGCATAATACGGTATTGATATGATGTGAAGGCCATCATTTACATATTGACAATAGGGCATTCCATTGATTGGTGGCAGAAAAAAACAAAAGAAATTATAGCAATAAAAACTGCTTTATGGCAGTTTTCTAAAAAAAGTTATTGTGTTCTAGTCCATGGACCCCGTCTAAAAAGTAAGAAATTAACGAAATGTGATAGCCGAAAATTATAATTTCACACAAAACCTCACAATAATCACACACAGAATGAAAAGCTACATGTACTCGTAGAAGACCTTTTCCCCTCGTGATCCTCTTTCCTATGCATGCATGTTGCCAATTGTTGGTGCAGTACAAGTTTAGTGTTGAAAGCAGCATTTCAAGTGTTGTGATTACTGTGAGGTTTTGTGTGAAATTTTAATTTTCGGCTATCACATTTCGTTAATTTCTTACTTTTTAGACGGGGTCCGGTCCATATGACCATGGACTACAGTGGAGTCGCGCGCCCAAGAACGTTGTTTCCAAGGGGTTAGCCTGGGACGTTTTTATTTTTCTGCAATCTGGCTGCGTTCTTATAGCACGTTCTTAGAAACAATCCGTACTGGATCATATGTATTCCACAAGCTGCCAGAAAACCAACACCGCCGTTCTTAGCTTTACAGTCCATTCAGAAAAAAATGAACTTCTAGCTTTTGGCCATAAATGGGTCAAACATTGAGTTTTTTTAGAATTTTTTCTGCAATCCCATATGGAATCCTCTTCCAATTATGTTATTGAAGTTTTTTTGTCCAAAAAGCAAGCCATAGGAAGAATAGGATTTCGGCCAGGTTTTGCCCCAAAAGCACTGAATTGGGAAAAACCATCAAAATCCAGGCCGTTTGACCCCGCCTGCAACAGTGCATTCTGCGGTTCGAACCCCAGTTCAGGCACCCTTTTTGGACCCTTTTTCAAATTTCAAAGTTCGCAGCACTGCCACTGTGTACGATGAAATCACGAAAAATCGCCAAAATACGGGAGCTCGCCAGAGCCAGGACCCATCTTTTTATGAATGGACTGTAGGCTGTGGTGTTCTTAGAATTTCAGGCTGGACGTTCTTGGGCTCCGCGTTCTTCAGCGCGCGACTCTACTGTACTGTAGAACACAATAACTTTTTTTAGAAAACTGCCATAAAAGCAGTTTTTATTGCTATAATTATTATGTGGACAAGCCTACTTTGGTCACGTCACTGCGCTACGCCGCTAGGGGGCGCAGATGGCGCGGCAGCGCAGCCGGCCGGCAGGCGCTATAGCTCGCGCTAGGCCAGGCCGCGGATCGCGGACTCGTTATCGCGCCGACGTCGACGATCGGTCGACGGCGCGCGGCCGCGTGCAGCGCAGTGCACTAGTATAGTGGCACGTGTACGCTCTGCTGATCTGACATGACATACATTTTTTTTGTGAAAAGAAGGGAAAGCTACATTATTATGATCTTGACGAAAAAGGTGATTTTTTGAAGAGGAATCCATGAGTGTGACCAGCCGTGCATTATTGTTTACTGACGAACTTTCTTCTCCAACGTCCATGTTGGGCTTACCTTACTTGTTACTTTACTCACTCACTGGGAGTATTCAGTAGATATATTGCGATGCGTTTGACTTTAGCTCTGTTGGCGAGGCGAAAAGCTCGCGGACCCACATCGATCGGTGTGAAAGGGCGAAACTGGATTGGGTGAGTGTTTGCATTCAGTCCATGGTGCAAGGGCCTTACAGTAACACGCACATATCTTCATAGTATTCGTGAAGAAATATGCTTCAGCCCAATGGGTGCACGCTCCTTTTTTGTGATATGACTGTTATGTAAATGATGGCTTATGGATAGAGCCGGGCTGATGGGACACGAAACAATAATATTCAGTATTAATGATGAGAGCCTTGTTCAGTTTGGTTTCTATGGATTTGAAGATATATTAAATTGACTGGGATTCAGGATGGTACATGTACGTGTATAATAGGGTGCGAGTCCTGCAGGCATGGTGGGGGCTGCTGGCACAAGCGAACCTTCCTAAGCTTGTTTTATTTATTTTACTCAGTTAAGAGTCTTGGTGTCTTTGATACGACTAGCTACAACTGTCCCCACCGTATGCACGCACTGCAGTCAACAATCCACCGTCGTCAATTCAATGAATTTGACACCGTCCATTCTGAAATAGAAAAATGAAAGCGTAGCACAAGACGTTCAAAGAGAACTCTGAAAATTCCAATGTGCGTACACCGGGGTGTGCAAGCAGTGCCAGCGTATTGAAGGAGCGCAAGTGAATAAATCACGGCATGCACGCATCCCGTTTCGTGGAGCTGCGCAGAGAATGCTCTGTCCCCACAGAATAATACGGACGAAATCCTAAAATTATGCGCATAATCATGCGGGCGAAAACAGGCCATTATGCAGCAAATATGCGGTATAATGCGGTCATTATGCACGAGTTCTCTGTTATTTGTACACGTTTAGCATGCAGTTTCATGCAAGTATACTACTTGGTCGTACAAACTCATGCAACGGTACGACTTTGTAGTACATTTTCAACATCATGTGCTATTTTCTTGTACATTTCCATGAATAACGCGGGTTTTATGCAATATCTCTCGAAACGCAGATGACAGCCAATAACGCGGGAAATTGCGCGTCCGCGGTATCCTGTGGGGACAGAATGCTTGGTCAGCGGATCCTTGATGTCATGACGCTAACATGGCTCCTATGTGGATTATGGCTAGCGCAATGCAGCAAAGAAGGGAAAATGCTTAAAAATATATAGCCAAGCGAAAATGAACATAGAAGACAAGTAAATGTGACAGAAACAACAAGTAGACAATGGAGTTGATGAGTCTGCAAGCAGCATTGTTAGATAAAAGAAAATCTTCAGTGAGAAAAAGAGAAAGGTGACATCGGGTAGTGAAAAAAAATAGGGTCATATACTAATTATAGAGAGGAAAGGGGCACATGGATACGAGTTATTTATCTTCAATAATTCTGAGCCACCCAAGTAAGTTGGGTGGCGTTCTGCTTCGCTGCTATGAGTTGTAGTTAGATCGTATTGTCAAGTACAGTGTATTTCTGGTCTCATCATCCAGTAACAGTCGGCATTCTTTCGTGCTGTGAGACAAAGCTTGTATTGGTCTTCGTTGGGCTTATATTTCCCTCTTTGCTCTTGCCTTGCCCATGAACCTTCCAAGTTGGAAAGCTGTTGGTTTGTGCATTGGAGATGTGTTGGAGCTAGGTGTCAGGCCGTATAAAGTACTGATTCTACGTTCCATGGAGTTTAGCAGTTGTAGTCCTGTACAGTGCATTTCCTGCATACTGAGGGTGTTTAATTCTACCACCTGTAGTTCTTCTACACCTGTGCATGCATGTGTCCAATTCCCTGGTGCTCTTTTGTGTGTGTGTCTGTGTGGTGTGTATGTGTGTGTGTTTGTATGTGTGTGTTTGTATGTGTGTGTCTGTGTATGTGTGTGTCTGTGTGGTGTGGTGTGTATGTGTGTGTGTTTGTATGTCTGTGTGTGTGTGTGCGTGTGCGTGCGTGTATGTGTGTGTGTGTGTGTTTTCTGGTTGCTCTGATATATAGGCCTGATAAGCGGCAACGCTCAATCAGCATTCAGCAATGGAGGAACTGGGAAGGAAGGAAGCAGATTGAGGCTAACTCACTGGCGCTTTTAGAGCGGCCCACATTCCTGACAGCGGTAAGCATGCCATAACCCATCAGTCAGTCAGTCAGTGGTAGGGCATATGCTTTACTGAAACCACTTCAAGAATCCAATATAGGCCTCTGTGCTCCAACTTCCATGACTTTGGCGTCCGGTCGTATGGTTTGAGGGTGACCTGTAGCAACAGGTGTTACTAGTAATAATCATTATTTCAGGATTACCCAAAGGCTAATTCCTATCCGGGGGATCTCCTATTTGTGTATGTACTAGTAAAGGCCAAGTGAAAGATTGTTGATCGTCAGAATTTTCCAAAAATCGGGGCGGACGGGAGGGTTTTATTTTTATTTTATAACTTTTTTTATATCGACATCGACCGGACATCTTGAAATCTTAGGCTGTACATGTATTACATATATCTATGGGGATATGGGTGTACTACCATTGTTGGTTGTGACTGCTACCAGTCTGCCTGGGCACACTTTGAACATGTGCAGATGACTCTGTGATACGCGGTGGCTGCGCAGTTTCCATGGATGCAGGCGTAGATATCAGGTGGTACACTGTACAGACTACAGTGCCATGTATTGTAGTTGCCAGATTTCACACAAGTACACTGGAATCACACTGCACTGCGTGATGTCGCTACGGTAAAAGCACGTTGAAGTTGTACATGAGAGCTCGCATACGCTTGTACTGCTAAAAAAAAGTTCGGATTTCGCTAAACACACGAGTTTTCTACCGTTGATCACGAAAATAAAAAAATAAAATAAATCCCGGGACGGACTGAAAAATCGGGGCGGGCGCTGACGATCAACAATCAATTATTTTCACTTGGCCTATTTAAACATAGTAAAGAAGAAGAGAGAAAGTACGCAAAGTGAGTGTGGAAAGTTAGATATAAGAAATAAGAAACACAAGGAAAGAGCTGTGACACACATACTCCAGTTAGTGGAAGTAGCTACATCTACTTTATTTGCATCCACACCACTCCATGAGTCAGCAATGTCGCTCTTGTACAACTATGTGCTGTTTGGTTGTGATCCATGTGCTCTCTGGTAAACAGAAAATGTCAAAAAAAAGAAAGATTTTTTGTTTCTTGAGGGGAGAGGTTGGATGAGAAGATGGCTAGACCTGGTCATTCAGGACTTTCGCTTTCTCAGTCTATTGGTGGTAGACTGAGATTCAAAAACCCTTATGATCAAAGGTTCAGGTGTGCATACTTCTGTGTGTGTCATAATTCCCACTCAGGTAGGGTGCAAGCTTACGACTGGTAACTAGATGATGCGACTTTGGTTGCAAACCCAGATAGCGTGGGACTCCGAATACTAGGTTTGTTGGCAACTCGGCCTCTTTGCAGCATTTCCCCGGGTGTGCATTGGTTGCGTGGCCAAACCAGAAAGTGACTGCGGCGCTCTCTACATGTAGTGCCTGTCAAAAACAACGTCAAAACCTGTGTACCTACACAAGAGTTCGTATTATATTATACTATACCAGTAGGAGTAGGTGAGAAGTGCTACAAATTCTTATCGTTTCTTAGCCTAGCGAAATACAATTCCGAATGAAGTGTCGCAAATCGATTTCTAACGGTATTTTGGTAAGTGAATACGTCTGCCCGTACTGAATATGACAATCTTGGGTGTTGTCGTGTCGGCAGCAGAATTGACCTGACAGTACTAGTCACATAATTCATTGAGAGCTGCATGTTCGCCTCACTCCTGCATTTCATTTTTTCTTTCTGTTTCTCTTGTGGAGACCCTGTTCTTGTGTGTTTTCCCTGTGTGTGGCTGGCGTTTGCAGTTGGAGGACCGTATCCTCGATGGCAGTACTCTCTACGACAGAGACACGAAGCACGAACATGCGCTCCGCGAGGTGCAACGAAAACACGTAACCCTGCGCGTCAAGCTTGGCCATTTGAGTCCGATGTGCTGATGCGGGCCATCTGCTTGTCAAGACGACTCCGCTGTTTGTACATATTTTTGCCAACTCCCCGCTGAACAATATCTATTTGCAGTACATGTAGTATGAAATTTGACATAATTATTATCTTGAATCCTGTGCCATTTTGACCAGCTGTTCTCATACAGGATTTTTGCAAGTTGTACAGTTCTTTTGATTGTGAGATCAGTGTGAAGACCAGCAGCCCTTGCCACTGGTATATTAAAAAATAGTACTTGAAATAGGATGGTGTATTGCAGTGTATAAGCCGTGTGATGTTAACGTTCCGAGTGGTCACCTTCGTTCAACTAACGTTGTTACTTGCCCTGCTCGGGCTTCTCCAGATGTTCCAGCTGTTCACCCTTGTTCTGGGACAGCAGTGTCAAAGGTGCCCGACTGAGCACCAGGGAAGCTGAGCGCTGACTCAGCAGTACACCGTATGGGCCAAAGCCCAAAACTGCGTATTACAATACTACATCAGTTGTTGAATGAAAGGAACACAAGTCCCAATCAATCCACAACCAACGGACCAGGTGTCGAAGCAGCAGCACAGCAAGGCGGGCAATGTTCTGCAACTTCCTGCAGAAGTTAGAATTATTATATTTTTTTATACTTGAATTGTTTGCAGGCAACCTGCCTACACTCAAGAGAGCACTGCATTTCACACAAATCCATTGGTATCGTTACAACGTTTCGGTCTTTATGACCATCATCAGGAATGAAGTGGACATGGAAAGAACAGCAGTATAAAAGAAGGAGGCAAGCAAGCAAAGCGCGGTACATAGTGACAGCGCGCGTAGAGAAGTGCAAAGCACGTCATGGCGGGTGTGCATTACTACATATACATGACAACACAAGCACAAACGGCGAGGAAAGTAGATACTGCGCTACAGCAGTGATAACAGCCCAGTTCCAGTCTCACACCACCAGTGAGGTGTCTAGAGCCCCGCGCCACTCGCAGTAAGGTAGTGTTATAGCAGATCCCAGCCACTATTTTTTTAATTATATAATAGGCTGGTGAGTGTGAACATACATGTACACCGCCTCTAACCCTGTCAAAATTTAATGATGCTCAGAACAACCACGTGACACAATGGCGAAGCAATCATCAGCTGTTTTGACACATATAGTAATAGCTGTATCTTCTGCTACCGTTATCTCTCTTGCTCTACTTGTCCATCAGAAGTACACATACAGTCAACTTCGCTAATAACGACTGCGGATATAACGACAATTCGCGAATAACGACCGAATTTCCATGCCCAGAGCAAAGTCCCATCTAACTGTATACATTTAACTTCGGATATAACGACTATCTGAATAACGACAATTCGCGTATAGCGACATGCTTTTAGTGCCCCGTGGTCATATTCACTGCTTGAATAACGACTTTCTGGGCTTTTGACAGCTATTTCAAGTACCTGTCAGTCAAGTACATGTACCTCTCATGCAGAAGTACCAGAACCTATGGTGCGCTTGTCTTCACCACGGCTGGCAGTGCATCCCCAGAATGCTTGCGGTTTTTGAAGCGATTATGCGCTATGCTGGCACAGCATGATGGCAAGCCCTACGGCGAGGTTATGGCCTACAGTGTTGGCCAAATGTTTGGGCCTACCCAAGAGAAAACAGGTTTCTAGAGAGAATCTTTGTATAATGAACGAACAAAACTACTGAAGTTGGCTATCTACCGAAGAGATCATACTCTGATCCATCTTTCGAAGGCTAGATAGTTGTAAAATAAAATAAAGTCAATTTAATCGAAAAAGCGTAGGCCCAAACTTACGGCCAAAATTAAAAAACAGCAAAATCCAGGTGACTAGCTAATAGATATCAACTAAATCTAATCGAAATGATTTGTTTCCATGCTAAGAACCTATCAGTGAACTGTTTGCCCAATTTTACCACTTAGTAGGTCCTCTCTTTGCCTTGACGACAGCCTCCATGCGCGCCGGGATGGTCGAGACGGGTTTCGCGTACTTGTCCCTGCTGATCTTCCGCCATGCTGTCTTGCACACTTCCCCAGGCTGTGTTTCTGTTGATGGGACTTGGGGAACATCATGGCAGAGACAATTCAGCATTTCCCACAAATCCTCAGTCGGATATAGGTCCGGCGACTGCGTCGGCCGCCCCAGTGCGCGATATGGGCGGTCCGCCGATTACGCCTTTATCGCGTGTGCGCGCGCAAATACATCATCCAGACCGCGCAACACATCCACCATGGACGGCTGCATACTGTTCTGCAGTATTCCTTGGTATTGGTCTGCTTTCATCGCTCCGTTAATGTTGTAGAGCCGCCCGACCCCGTTGCCGGCGACGCGGTCCCGTATCATGATGCAGCCACCACTGTGCTTGACTGTGCCAACAGTACACTCTGGCACAAGTAAGTTGTTCACCAGGTCAACAACTGAAATACACCACACAATCTGATGCTCTCATATTAAATTTAAACTCGTGGGGCCACAGTACGTTGCTCCACTGGTCCACAGTACATCCTTGGTGGGCCCTGGCAAAGACCAGTTGTTTCTTCAATTTTCTGGTTGATATACGGGTTTTTTGTGGTCCTGCAGCCTCTCAGGCCAGCTTTCAGCAGTCTGGGACGTTCCGTACGGCTCGGGACATGTTTGCCACGGTTTTGCACCAGTCTGTCTTGAGCTCCCACGACAAAGTCCTTCTGCTAGCCAGAGTTATCACCTTGAGGTACCTGTCGTCACGAGCAGACGTCAGCCTTGGATGACCAGAACGAGCCTAATTCTTGCAGCTTTGCATCACTGCGAACCTGGTGACAGTTTTCTCACCGTGCGCGCACAAACGCGGGTCAAATTGGCGATATCATTCGAAGAGAGGCCATCATTATTCATCTTCACTGTCAACTCCCTCACGTCAGAGCCAAAGGTGCTTGGATCGACCCATGGTGAAGGAAAAATGTCAAAAACAGCAACTAAAATTTGTTGTTCGTGTCGTGAGGACCACCACGTGTTGTGCAGTTGAATTTCCCGCTGGTTTTGCATCACACATTTTTGTACCGTATGGTACTGTACAAATTCAAATATTTTGGCCAAAAATTTGGGCCTAGCTTTTTCATGATTTTCACCTGAAAATTTGTTTTGAAGCGCACGTGCGCTGTAGAAAACTTATCTCACGCGTTTTCATCGGGCTTGCAGCAGGTTTGAAGATACACAACTTGGCAGCACCACTGTATTGTGCCAAACCCCAAAAATTTATAGGTAGGCCCAAACTTCTGGCCAACACTGTACATGTATGTCAGATGCCGTCTGTCGTTTGCACTCCTCCGAGCTGCAGTTATGTGCATCAGAGGGGCTCGCTCTGCATACCATCGACCGGTAAATGCATTGCGCCCACTAGCCATGGCTGAGGGACGGATGTAACAGTGGTGTGTATAACCTCGCTAATGCAAAGTAATGGCAGTGTCCTCAATGCTAATGGACGCGTCATGTTTTTGTTTATAATTTAAGGTGCAATTTAGCGCTGATGTGGGTATTTCTTTGCTTTTCATCATTTGGTCCTTTAAAATGAAGCGGCTTTTTATTTCCTTTTTTCTTCTTTTGCACCGAGATATTATTTCTTGCTGTTTTTTACCGGATGTGTCACGACTTTGAATTGAATTGAATTTTCCTGAATTGATTTGATTTTTAGCGTTATGAGCGGCTTTATTGACATTGCCCTTCAGATCGGATTTTTTATTTTTTAATAAACAAAGAGAGAACCTATGGTGATAAAAGGCACACATGCAAGAAAATGCAGCCAAGGGGGGGGGGGGCTTTTTTTCCTTTTATAATGTTGGCTTCAAAATTGTTGGATTTACCAGCACACCTATATTATGTATACAATGTACATGTAGTTGTACATGATTGACAGTAATCATCATACATGTACATGTACATGTCTCTGGCCCTGTAGATGGCTCAAAAAGGCATATTTTTCAATTCATTTCCCTTGCATATTGAATTTTTAGTTCCTTGCAACTGCAATATGAAAATAAAGTACACATTGACATAGAGCAAGACAAGAGCTTGATTTTGATATGCATATCATACTATACAAAATATGGGTTGACATACATTCAAATGGGACTTCGGTTATAAGGACACTTCGCGAATAAGGACACTTTTCTGATGCCCCGCCGAATGTCGTTATTGGCGAAGTTGACTGTAGTCACTGATGAATTCAGGAGAAAATCGTTTCTGCAAGTGTCTGTTGGTTGTGCTTCATTTCAATAATTGACTTCTTGTCTCCGACTATAATGTAGAATTACATCAATCGATGGGATTTTTCAATTGCACATTATTCTTCGCCTGTGTGTGTACCCACTCCCAGGGACGACAAGAAGCGCATACCTACATCATACAGCTACCAACATCTTTTTTGGTTGAAAAAGTGATTCAAAGAATAGAGCATAGTAGGAAGAGGATTGAAAAAATTGGCAGTTTACACGCTAAGGCGCTAGCCAGCGAGTCATAAATTACTCCCTGGTGCAAGCACCACAGCCATGCATATTCATTGTTCACTTGTCTAATATTACAATGCCTTTGTCACGAGTCAAGTCAAAGACAAGATCAAATGGAAATACGACTGTTAAACCTGCTGCTGGAAGCGAATTGAAATAAACGGTCTGCCGGAGTCCCTCTTGTTAAAATGTGTGTCTTGATTTAATAGAGCTGTGTGATCAAGGAATATTGCTGGATGCATCAGTGATGATTATTGGGCAAGGTATTATAACCATCACCGGGCACGTTTACTAGTATGCCCTACACATTAGTCTAGTCACGGTTCAGTGTAACAGCAGTCACAGTAATACATGCATACCGAGACTGAGTGGTGATGCTACTGCTGTCGCTGTAGCTAGCGTTAACATTCACTGCTCTCTTCGTTGGCATCAACAATCACAGTAACTGCTGGGATCTTGTCCGGGTCTTCACGCGGTGCTGCCTGCTGCTGCTGCTGCTGTTGTTGATCAATATCCTGGCCTTTAGCAGGAGGTGCTGAGTAGAAAGTTACATTGTGTTTCGGCGTGCTCTGCTTGGTTGGCGACTGCTGAGGAGGCAGTGTGACAGTGCCATCCATTCTTCCCTTCTGCTTACTAATGCTACCTAAGCTGCGGTTCAACTCGCTCATGAAGCTATCCGCATCCCTCCTGGTGCTGGATGAGATAAACTCCCAGTCGTTTACTGACGCCGAACTGGACGTGCTTGGATTGCGCGCCGCTGTGGGTTTCTTGTAGCTGCTAGAACTATCTGCTGCTGAGAATGAGCCAGAGTGCAGTCGTTGAATTGGGCTTAGCATTGGGCTGCGTAGCTTGTCCGCCTTGGTCAAGTTCTGGAGAACGCTTCCAGGCAGGGTTGTGCTACGTACGCGGAACGCCACTGTTCGTTTGGGCTTCGGCGCCGGTGACAAGTCACGCTCCATCTCCGGTAGCATGGTGCTGTCCGGCGTAGAGGATCGTGACCACGCTGGGGACAGTGCGTCCTGCTGCTGCTTCAGATGCTGTATGCCGGCACGTATGCGCATGAACTCTCGAAGCAGCTGCTGGTCTTGACTGCGCATGGTAGCCTGTAAACAAACAACCAAGACGGCAGAAGCAGGTCACGAACCATTAACAGCAGCCATGTACAGTAATCTTCGCAATGGATGGCGGCAGATAATCTGAAGGAGTCGCCACAACTGCCGGATATTGGCATACATATATTGGACAGAGCTAGAGAACAGCAGCGGAAGCATGTATAGCACTGCTGTGCATGTTGTACGCGTATCTGTGTTATTATTATGATTATGTACAGTAATACTCAAACATACGGCTGGAGCACCGCGACGTCACTCGCACTCCACATGATCTCCGCACGGCCACTGGCCATGTGCTCCAGTGTGCACTGTGCTCTAGCAAATACAGAAACCTGTAGTGACTCTGCTTCTAACATGATTACTGTACATAGAATGCTGTTTGATCGGAGACACCGCAAGATATTTTACACGACACCTGACTGTTGCTAGGTCTACAGACAATCGGTGCCTTTCCTCAGCCGGCAATATTCCACAACATAGCAGTCAAATACCGTATAACATTATTTGTCACTCCTCGGTGACATCCCAGTTCATCGTAAACATTGCAGTGTGTTTACCAGCAAATTCTGGGAGTTTTGTAAAGAAAACATACTGGAGAGATTCGAAACTACAACCACAAGTAGTTTCCTGTCTCTGTCCCTTGTCCACCTGCCACTGTGCTCCCGATGCTGAACCCCGTCAAAACAATGACCTTGACCCTGCATGAGTGTTGAACCCAGTAGGCATGTTCTCGTAATGCCGGTGTGGCTATTATCCAAGTCGCCATCTAGTATAAGTAAAAATTAGCACTTTAGCAGGCAACATCGTACTCCATACATGCCCTCTTCTTCATCTATAATTATAAACACAAAACGTATTGACTGTTGTACTACTGCTGGTTGATATCAAGTACATGTAACAAGAATCACACTCCTGGGCTTGTCATGTCCGTTTTACACGGTCAGTGCTGTAATATTTCAACATGACACTAGTCAACCTCCTCCTCCCACCAAGGAAACATTTCCTCTAAAAACGTAGCCTGTTGATTTTGCTTTCCTTCTCAATGAAGTCCTCTGCGCCAGCAACGCAAAGGCCATGATCAGTTTGGATACCAGTACACTACGCAAACTCGATCCTACATGGGAAACCCCTACTTTCTTTTACACTTCTGACTGTGCAAATGACATTTTACTCAGGTAGACTGGTACGGTCTACGTACCAGCAGAATGGTCGGTCTAAAAATACAGTTTTATTGTTTAGCAATACCATTTCCTTCCGCAGCCAATCCAGGGTTGTAGCCATGTCCGCATCTGGAGGCAGCGGGGATCCTCGTTCCAGGAACGCCTGCTCTGCGTCTTCGTGGCTGTCCTTGCTGCGACGTCGTAGTAGGTTGCCGAGGGACTGGCCGTCGTGGCTCACCAGTACGCCACTATCCCTGAAGTCGCCGCTAGCGCCCTCCACCGACAGCATGGAAAAGGGTGAGTCGCCGCGGCTGAGGCTATCGCTGTCCTGCCTGCTGGTGGCCAAACAGGGCTCAACCTCCATCACTGACTCGTACTGTGCCTCGCTCTTGTCCTTCCCGCTTAGCCTTACATTACAGGAACACAACTGATACCGCTATTTCCTGCTGGTAGTCAGTGCTGCGACGATCTGATGCAAGGGCAAGTCAGTTTGCAAGGGGCACAGGATCTTCTTGTTGGCGTAAGTACTGTCGTACTAGTACTACCCCAACCATTCATTGGGAACTCCTATCTTTCTAACGCAGCTTGGGCTAGTGTTATTATACTACTACTAGTCGATAAAGCACGCCAGTACTGGTAGTAGCAGATCGATTCAATATTTCCCGTTGACAGAACAGCTTCTCAACAGTTTATTTTACGTTGATAGTCGTGTAGAGGGAGGCGGAAAATGCTGAGCTTCGTTGCAACACGCCTGGAAGTGGAAAGACGAACATGAAAACTGAAGCACTTTCGCTGATTTGAATGAATGGTAGATCTACAGTACCAGTATTCTGTTTGTTCAAGCTTTGACTCAGTTTGAGTACTCATCGGAAGCACTAGTTGTAATACAGTCTCAGTACTGACGATGATGACTCGACTGTAGTCTGTGTAGATAAGACGGTGTAGCTAGCTAGCATGCCTATGTACATATGTCATGTCAACAACGTGCTAGTTGGCATGCGGTCTTATCTCAAGTCGAGGATTTTTGTACATGTAGGACTACTACCCCCTAGTCCTAGTCATACCCTGGTCCCACCACACTAAAGTCGACTTTTATGGACTGCTCATACTCATACTCAGTCACAGTCATACTGAAACTCATACTAATATTACTATTACTGAAGTACTATTACTTAGTATTAGTAATAATAGTTACACTTCTTTCTAAAACTCCCTTGATGCCTGGCAGGCAGGCAGGCATAGTGGGATGGTCTAAGAGTAAGACCATGATTGAGAAACAGAGGGTACCAGGTTCAGGTCCTGTTTGGAAGCGGAAGGATTTTTCCAGCCGTGCTGTGACCCACAGTTAATAATTATTGAGAACTCGTGGCCTGGCACGAGAGAAACATGGATGCAGTGAATGGGATTTTTGGTCTTTGACCACTTTGAGCCTTTTGTGGTAGGTCTGATCTACTCACCTCCCACTGCTTTAGGAGCTGCATCTGCGCCTTGATCCAAGAGGGTGGTGGCGTTCCTGCGGGTGCGGAAAACTTGGCCTCTGGCCGCGTCTCAACGCGAACCGTGAATTTTGTTTTTTGATGCCTGGCACAATCCTGTTCTTGACAGTGTGGTGGCAGAGAGTGACCATGCCGCATGGTGCATGATCACATAATCAGTTCACTCCACGCCAGTCCCAGGTGCCGCTAGACTGAGCTAGTACACCATAGCGACCGTAAAAGCCGTGAAAGCCCGGCGTATCAGAGCCCACCCAGTTTACATGTAACACCCTACGCGGTGTCAACACTCTTCTAGCCCACTTTCGTGTAAACGCCCATGGGAGAAAGCACGGTCCCAGCACACAGTGCAGTACACGCTCAGCTCCATGTGCATGTACAATACCGTAGTATCATGACAGTAATGCCGATTATCCGAATGTCAACCATCCGAGCAGTCGATTATCTGAAATGCCTGTTTGCACTGAAAGTAAAGGGCAAAAATGAGTTCAAGTTACTGATTCCCCCACCCAAATTACCATTGAAAATGGTGCACAGGATGTATAGCAACAGGTTGGCGTCAAATTTAGTCCCCATGATGTAATTTTGAGGAGCTGGAGTATGTCCAATTCCTGTGGAACTGCCGAAGAGACTATGATGATGATGAGAAATGATATGAGGGAATGTGCATGGTTTAGATTGATGTGTGCCCACTCCCTTATCCAAACATACTCCTCATCCAAACACCTTGCCTCTTGGCGACAGCCCCGCGCCTGGAGGGGTGCGGACAATTGGCACTCTACTGTAAGTTAGTGTGCACTGTACACTGTGCTAGCCTTATACACACACACACACACACAATATGTAGTAGTACGGCATGATATGAAAATAAGTCAGTGATTTCACTTATCCGAAATAGCTCCCGGGCCCAAATTGATGCCGTGTTCTGGATCGAACTTGGGTACTGAGCCAAAAGTAGAATGTAAGAATAAGAAAGGACACATGGGTTACGAGTTATGAGTATTAAACTGCCCAGTACTGTAGCAAGATAATAAGCAGTCAGAAAGTGCGATAGCTAAGCACAACACTGACAGGCTACTGAGACATTCAACAACCTGACACCTAGCTCTAGCACGTATCCAGTGCGAAACACTACTCTACTGTGATGATGTCACAGTGTTAGAACTAGGTGGCAGGTCGTTGAATGTCTCAGTAGTCTGTCAGTGTTGTGCGTAGTTATCGCACGTTCTGACTGCTTATTATCTTGCTACAGTAGTGGGTAGTTACTCCTAACTCGTAACCCATGCGTCCTTTCTTATGTTACATGTTCTGGATCACTAACATTTCCAACCAGGACCATATTACAGGTGGTTACGGTTTGTATCAGCCATTTAACTAGCAGACAACTCTGATTGTCGCCATTATGGTCAGTAGACTGAAGCTCTTCTCGCAAATTTCGGACTAAGGTTTTCTTGGCGAGAGTTTTCTTGACACCACCCGGCTGCTCCTCACTTGATAGTGCTGCCCATACATTTGTACAGGTATAACATTACTGAAGTAAATCCATAAACACATTACTGAAGTAAATCCATAAACACATTACTGAAGTATAATTATGGCCGTGCACAATGTACTTCCTTAGAAGTAGCGACTTCGGCGGTCGCGAGTCAGTCAGTTAAGTGTCAAGTTCAGCAGGAGGCATGTGTTCCACGTACACATGTACACGTGGGAGAAACCAACTTCATGTACTTTCAGGGGTTGAGTGGGGTTGGAACGTGGCTGCTATGTAAGCAGGGTTCTCGCCAAAGCGACATGGCGGGGCGCTGCACCCTCCTTCACTTTTTGACCGCCCCCTTTCAAAACGAATGCACCACCCTTCAGAGTGCTAGCAAACACCTTTTTATATGTACATATCATGTAGTAGCACAGCATAACATGGCGTCACAAAAATGGCGGTAAAATCGCAAAATATTGGGTCCGTTGATCCCCGCCCTCCTTCACTTTTGTTCTGGCTATTGCCCTGGTAAGGTATTGTGAATCTGTGATTGATGTGCAACAACCCTATTTGGTCAGGTTTCGTGGTGGTTACCACAATTGCCCCACCACCACCACATGATCGTGGCCACTCACATGTCCACTCACACAACAACCACCAAACTGTTTAGCGTGCACATGCTTCTTGTATATGGCTGAACTTCAACCCAGACGTGTTGTGTCTTGCTAGACTCTGCTGAGTCTGCTGAGTCCCTAACTACTATCTTAGCACAAGTACACTGTACTTCCTGCTCTAGCATGAATCCGTGCATGCCGGTAGGACGGAAACAAAGGTCAGGGAGAAAAACCTGGCGTCTTTGCAATCTACAAACTGGCAAATGATGGTTGTCTGAGTCAGAGACCACTCACTACAACCACGAGGTTAGCCAGATAAGAGCGGGCCCCCGGCAAACCTCCCCACCCCATCTTGCCCTGCAGTGAAGCAGATGTGCACATATTTTGGTATACTTGCGGGCCACCCGAACCCCAAAAGCCTCCCTGGCCCGGGGATACGAGAGACGCGTCTAGCATGCCAGCTGTGTCACTTCCACAACCCAAGGCAAATGCGGCGTCCTTGACGGCCGCTGCATTCGTGACCGCCCCAAGCCGGGCTGATCCTGCAGCATAGTGCATCCATCGTAATGAAGATTACTACAGTTTCCTCCCATGGAAACTCGATCCTGCGTGATGCATCCTACAAGAATGGCTATTATTATTATTAAACTCAATCTCGTAGCATGTGCACGCATTGCTCGAATGTGGGGAGCAACCCCAGAGATGAGGGCGATAACCAGCCATGGTAAAAGTACAAAAGAAAACAAGAAAACAGTGGAAAGAAAGGAACAGGGAGGAAAACAAAGCTCAGCCAAGAAAGGAACAGGGAGGAAAACAAAGCTCAGCCAAGAAAGGAACAGGGAGGAAAACAAAGCTCAGCCAAGAAAGGAACAGGGAGGAAAACAAAGCTCAGCCAAGAAAGGAACAGGGAGGAAACCAAAGCTCAGCCAAGAAAGGAACAGGGAGGAAAACAAAGCTCAGCCAAGAAAGGAACAGGGAGGAAAACAAAGCTCAGCCAAGAAAGGAACAGGGAGGAAAACAAAGCTCAGCCAAGAAAGGAACAGGGAGGAAAACAAAGCTCAGCCAAGAAAGGAACAGGGAGGAAAACAAAGCTCAGCCAATTAAGTGAGATACATGTAGCCGGAAATTACATTGTTTAGCTAAACACGCGTGAGTGCTGCAGGAAAACGCAACTCAGTACAAACAACTTGGCGATAAGGCCACATCTACTACGTACATGTATAGCCTTGCCTGCCTGCGGGCTCCACCCCTACCCCACCATTTCCTTGTTCCTTCGCTCACCAAAGCTTACTTTTTGGAAGAATTAGTGACACCAAGGGTGCTCCTTATACTCTTGGTGACACCGTTTCTACTACATGCCTGTATAGTCCAGCCTTGGTTATGCTGGATTTGGCGGGACGCATCAGGGTACCCAAAGAACTTGACCAAAATCCGTCATGTAGTATTGTACTAGTATTGTACATGCACGTTGTAGGTGTGGCATTCTAACGCTTACTTGTATCCATGGAGATCTCTTCTTGTCGCTCAGTACTAGGATAAAGGCTGAGAAATTGCACCAAGACATAACCAGAATGATGACAGAGTGTACAGCCACATGTCTGCTGCACACTAACACCGTCTTTAGAAACTACATGTACAACGTTTCGCCTCCAAAGCCATTGCTCAAACAGCCATTGTTCTGCTACGAGTATTCAATAAATGTGTTGCAGACACTTCATTCAATAATGAAGATTGCCATTTCTCATCACTCTCCCTCGCTTCGTTTTTCTCCTAGCTTTGCCTGGTGAGACTACTACAGTAGTATTGAAATCAACATGAAGCATATAGACTACATCATCGTAAATGTTATGGATTGTGTGTTGCTCCCTACGTGAAAGCTCGCGCTTTCCCTGCTGACTTGACTGGACACTTGCACTAGCTTCACGGCTGCCGTTCAGAACACCATCGAATCTTCCAGTCGGCAAAGCTGCGAGGTAGCACCACCACTTCCTGCCTCCAATAACACACACACACACACTCATCGAGCGTTGGCCAATGTGCTGCAAGAGTGGACTCCACGCCTCTAGCAGCCCCAAACATCACCATGGTCTGAATGGCATGGTCCCCAAGGATACGTATTACCAACTGATACTAATTTCTCGCGCGAGGGATATCATCTCGTGCCGTGGACATATTATACTGTACTAGTACAATGTACATGACTTTTGTGTGTTCTGTTGATCTGGACGGCGGTCCGGTCGTGAGTCAGTCAAGTCACAAGTGTAAAGTCGGCGGGAAAGGCACGAATTCCCA